AATGGGAAATGAATCTGTCATTCAAGAAGTGAAAATGCATGAACATGCTGTTGTTGATTGGTTTATGTTTTGCAGAGAAGTGTGTAGGACGACTGTGATAAATGATAGTGTTCCAATTGGTGGTGAAGGAGTAATAGTTGAAGTGGATGAGAGCAAATTCGGGAAAATGAAGTATGGAAGAGGAAAGCCTGTGGACGGTCATTGGGTAATTGGTGGTATTTAGAGAGGAACGAACAGATGTTTTTTTAGAGAGGTTGAGAATAGATCAAAGGAGAGTTTGGAGAGAGTGATAGTTGAATGGGTGTTGCCGGGATCAACTGTGGTTTCAGACTGCTGGAAGACATATGGTGGACTAAAAAATTTAGGTTATAGCCATCTGACTGTCAACCACAGTCTGTACTTCCGTAATCCCGAGTCGGGTGCGCACACTAATTCCATAGAAGGTACCTGGTCTGGAACCAAACGTCATTTACGTGGAAATACAAACCACGTAGATGGCGAATTTGATTCATATTTAGCGGAATATATGTGGCGAAAATGGCACAACCACTCACTAAGTGATGAACATTATCGTGCCTTTTTAGCAGCAATCATAAAGATTTATCCGCCGGAAACGGCCGATAAAACTGAGTAAATTTTCTTGAAGACGGGGTTTAGGGAGGTTTTCTCCCGACATAAATTTAAAAAAAAAAAAAAAAAAAAAAAAAAAAAAACCTCTCAAAAACACTTTATTTTCCTGAAAAAGACCAAGTGAAAATATTTTTCTTTTTAAAATTGCTTATTTTTAATATTTTCTTAATATCTTTCACTGTGAGAAATTAGGTTTTTTAAATTTATTAATGTGTAGAATTCTAATACGAGAGTATAGAACGTGGTTTAGGAACTTAAGAAACAGTGAAATGAAAGCTGTGTATGATGTTGATATTCAATCATAAATATTTTTCATTTTTTATTAATGTAAAGCTTAAAAATTTTTAGAAAATAATGAAGATTGTTTACTTACTAGTATGTAAGAGATGGTGTCGTTATGTAGCAATAAGGTAATTTTGTAAAGATGATAAGTTAAAATGTTCCGCAATATGAAATTAAATTTAAAAAAATCTGTTTTTATTTGTATAAATACTAAAGCTTAAAAATATTCACCCTGTATGAGAGACTGCGACGTTGTTTACAGTTTTAATAATTATTACAATTCACTTACCGTATTATAGTACTTTGAAAAATTTAGTATATGCATTTCTACATCTGTAGAGAATACATTGTGACGTCACAATCTTATTCCCACCCATTTATGAACGTCACATAGCTCCGCCTTCGCAACTTTGCTTATGCAACGTATTCTAAGGCCCACCAGCGGCCGAGCGGTAAAGTCGCTGAACACTGGTAGTTCGGTCCGAGGTTCGAATCCCGCGAACGGGCTGGCTGCATGGGCGTTTTCGTGGTTTTCCCCATGTGTAACGTGTATACGAGCCAGTTTCCCTTAGAAAGTCCTCCACGAAGGCATCCCTCCCCTTAGGCAGATAGCCCTCGAGGCTTTGCCACAATCACACACACACGCAACGTATTCTGATATTTCACTGGCGATTTTCAAAAAATCGCCGCTGCTGAAAATCGCCAAGCAGGGGCCTAAAGCAAATTTTCACCGATTATTTTAAATAATTTTAATTCTATGCGTGATGTAATCAGCTCCCTGATTGGTTACTGAATATTTGTGCATTACCGCGCCATTTAAAAATTTTATTATTCATCTCTTCGAATTCGTCAGATTTCAAATGGAATGGATATCTCTGTTTCGAAGATGAATGTTGTTATTGGTAATTACCAAGAATTATAGTTATTGGAATAAAAAAATTGCCCTTTGAGACCTTATTTTGGCCAACCTGTCTTTCCTAATCAAAGATTTATTTATAAATTGTTAATAGCGTCAGAGGAAATTTATTTTAAACTTTTTGAGGAAACCTAGCTAATTGCTTCTTCAATGAAGTGCGAGATATGTGGATAACAGATGAAGATGGTTAAAAGAGCCGATTCAATTATCATTTCGATTTTTTTTGTGGTACTTATCAATAAACAAGAGGTTAAATTACTCAAAAAAATGTAAGTACATATTTTTATTTCATTTTATAATTGTATACTTCAATTTTTATTAAAAAAATTAATACACTATTTTCAAAAATTGCTGAGATAATTATTGTCACATATGTTTTAATGTTACTTATATTTTATATAACGTATTTTAAAGTATTTGAATTTAATAATATTCTAATTCTTTTAAATGTTGGTAGGATGGTTTTTAATTCGATATTCAATTTCAGTAATATTTTAATCTAATTGAACGTTGGCACAATGTTTTTATAGCGGTGTTTTTATTCTCTTTTTTGCTATGTGAAAGTAATAATAGCCTTATTTAGTATTTTATACTCATAGTAAATGTATTTATTTACACTTGCCTGCCATCTTAAAAAACAACATTTTCAGCAAAAATTAATCCATTACTTTTAACGATATTAATTTTTTTTTAAGTTTCGAATACTTTACTATGCGTAAAAACAGCGTTTCACAAGATGACTGACGATTGTAAAAATCGCGCCAACAATTGCGCCAAAAATCCGTGCAACCGTCTACCAAAGTAGCACCGAATTTTTAACTGGGCGTATAAAACATTTTACTTAAAAAGCAATAGTTTTTCTAAAAATACTATTTTTTCAGGTGCTACTTTGGTAGACGGTTGCACGGATTTTGGCGATTTTTCTTTTGGCGAGTAATACAACTTATGGTAAACCCATTGCTGGATAAGTTATTTATGGTAACCGATACTTTGTTGTCATTTTATTAAAAAAATAATGCGTTTTATTATGCATAACTTCTGTGTTTAAATATTATTTATGGCTTCTAAATATTAAAAATCAATTTAATTTTACATTTTTATTTGAAATAAATATTTTGTTGTTTATAATATTTTATATAATTTTATGTTGTTGATGATGTAATCAATGACGTCACCTTACTTAAAAAGTAATTGGTTTTATTAATATCTATAAATTTAATCTAATGTTTTAAACATTATTTATGGCTGTTAAATATTAAAATACAATTTAATTTTGCATTTGTTTTAAAATAATTTCATTATGAATGATTATTTAAATAATTTTAATTCTATGCGTGATGTAATCAGCTCCCTGATTGGTTGCAGACTATTTGTGCATTAACGAGCTATAATCAGCTCCCTGTTGGTTACTGAACATTTGCGCATTACCGCGCCATTTTAAAATTTTTATTATTCATCTCTTAGAATTCGTTTAGATTTCAAATGAAATGGATATCTCCGTTTCGAAGAGATGAATGTTGTTATTGGTAATGTACCAAGGAATTATTGGTATTGGAATAAAAAAATTGCCCTTTGAGACCTTATTTTGGCCAACCTGTCTTTCCTAATCAAAGATTTATTTATAAATTGTTAAAGGCGTCAGAGGAAATTTATTTTAAATTTTTGGAGGAAACCTCGCTAATTGTTTCTTCAATGAAGTGTGAGATATGTGGATAACAGATGAAGATGGTTAAAAGAGCCGATTCAATTATCAATTCGATTTTTTTTGTGTGGTACTTATCAATAAACAAGAGGTTAAATTACTCAAAAAAAATGTAAGTACATATTTTTATTTTATTTTAAAATAGTATACTTCAATTTTAATTAAAAAAATTAATACACCATTTTCAAAAATTGCTGAGATAATTATTGTCACATATGTTTTAATGTTAATTACAATTTATATAACGTATTTTAAAGTGTTTGAATTTAATAATATTCTAATTCTTTTAAATGTTGGTAGGATGGTTTTTAATTCGATATTCAATTTCAGTAATATTTTAATCTAATTGAACGTTGGCACAATGTTTTTATAGAGGTGTTTTTATTCTCTTTTTTGCTATATGAAAGTAATAATAGCCTTACTTTAGTATTTTATACTCATACTAAATGCATTTATTTACACTAGCCTGCCATCTTAAAAAACGACATTTTCAACAAAAAAGTAATCCATTACTTTTAACGATATTAATTTTTTTTACGTTTCGAATACTTTACTATGCATAAAAACAGCGTTTTTCAAGATGGCTGACGATTGTAAAAATCGCGCCAACGTAAATCGCCAAAAATCCGTGCAACTGTCTACCGAAGTAGCACCTTTTTTCATAAAACGTAGCTACTTATACAAAAAGCTGATGATACAGCGCTTAAGGCCAGTTTTAGAGTAAATAAGATTATACAGAATACCCATCAGTTTAACAGAGTGGATTTTGCTGCAGAAAAGTATTATGTTAGTTTTCCTGCCATCGAAAGGAACAAAAGCCCTAATAATGAGTAGAAAATGGTAGAAAAAATATTTCTTAAGAAAAAATTTGGTATCAGTATAAAGCATATAAATCTCAACAAAAGCGGAACTGAAGTAGAATGGCAAGGATTTTCCTTATCATTAAAATGAAGAAAAATCTAGAAATAAAGGAAATCTGAAAATAAAATAGTTTTTCAAATTTAAACACTCCATACAAATGTCAACAAGGAGAGAAATGAGAACAATTACCCAGTAAGCAATTTGATACTGAAAATTGCCATTTCTTAGTATCACTAATGATTAAGATTTAATAAAATGTTAAATTTGATGTGCAGTTTTAATATGTATGTTTTCAAAGCTTGTTGTTGTATTCAGAAGCATATCAAGCAAGATTTTTCTTCTTTAAACTAAGAGTTTTCTGAATTTTGCACGTGTATTTATATATATAAACTGAAATGATTCCAACTTCATTAACTCTAAACTTTGAAATGTATAACACATTCCCATCAATACTACACAGGCATAAATTTCTACAAAACTTTAAAAATTATTTATTTTTAAAACTGTCATTTAGCTTTACAATAAATGTTTGAACAAAAAATTTTGCAGATTGAAAAATAAGTGTACTATGAACTATTGCATATTTTAACAAAGATTTCTTTTTCACAGGAGAATCAGAAGATGGCATAAAATACCTACAGTTCTTAACAAAAATCCCTCGTATAAGTACAGTAGCAATGTTTCTATCAGCTGAAGAAAAGAAAGGTAATACATTATTTAATTTTTCATGTAGTCTAGTGAAAACTGTACATGCAAATGAAACCTTCTTAAGCCTACCCATAGTTTCAGACAATTTTATTTGCAGGTTGCTGCCTTAAAAAATATGACTATTAATGATATTCAGTATCAATCACTTTCAGATGTTGTCGTATTAGAAAGTTGCTCATTCTGAAAAGACTATTAATGATATTCAATATCAGTCACTTTCAGATGTAGTCGTATTAGAAAGTTGCTCATTGTGAAATGTTTTACTAAATTAAAATTAATTTAGTAATATATAATTTACATTATTACAAGAAGATGAAACATAACACTTGGAATACACGTTATGGATTTTGGTCAACAGTCTTAATGCACAAAACTTGCAGTTATAAGCAACCATTCCTTATTTCCCTCTAACTACTAAAACTGATTCAATGTTTCAGGCACTAAAAACTATTATAAAATGCAGTCAAGCCTAGGTACTTCTTTACATGAGGCCAGTATCACCTTGTAAGCAAAAGGCACTTTTGTACAAAGTTATATTTCAGTGCTCACATACACATAAAATTGATTTTTCAAATTAAAATTAATTTAATTTCAAGAAATTTTTAAATCCTATGCAATAATACCATTTCAAACTTGAAATATATGACACCACGTTGAAGCCGCTACAAAATTCTTAATTAGATCATTCCTATATAAATTATCAGGAATATTATTTTTATTAATACCATAAATAAACTGGTAAATTATTCTTCATAATGTTTCATTAGTTCCATGTTCTTTTTTTCCTTTGAAAGATATAAATATCCTCATTACATTAATGCTATGAAGCACTATACTTTTATTTGCTATAATCAGAAGTAAATTAAATAGGTAATGCATGCAGCATTTCAAAATGCTATGTTTAATATTTTTTCATAAATGTGGAATAGAATTTTTAATAGAAATATCATAAAGAAACCTACTTACTAGTGTTAAAATAACACTTCATTCTTTTAATATGTTTTAATGATTATGCCATCATCGGATTGTTTTCATCGTGGCTAATCATGGACGAAAATAATTGGGTTTTCGAAATCTTAGTCATATGTACCGTAGTAGTGGCACATATAATTTTTGTTTTGTTTGTTTTCTTTCAAACTTCCGGAAAATCAGGACTGATAATGAAGTCATTTGCTGTTGTCATTGTAGAACTATCAGCATCATGAAATTCTTTAAATCTTTTGAAACAAGATCAAGGTTTTTCAGCAGCTATTTGATTTTAAATCCTTTTCTTTAAAATGTCATTCCAAGAACTGATGAGGCACACAAATTTAAATAATAAATTTTCTTAAATTATGCTGCTAGCTTTTATTAAAGAATCAATACTGTTAAAATGTCATTTATAATTTCTGACACAGAACACAAAAATTTTCAACGATTGCTACAGGTTTACTTTACAATTCTTGTGTAGAGAATTTGTCTGATAGCGTTTTAAAAACTAGGTGAATGATTTTCTGATTTATGGAAATCTTAATTTTATTTGATTCTGAATTATTTATTTTAATGCTTTAATTTTGGGGAAAAACAGATGCTTCTGGGAATATTATTTAGTTTAAAAGAATATTATTTATTTTCTTTTATTTGCAATTTTTGTACAAGCTTTGATTCATTGTGAAAAGAAGCAGGGAAAGGGAAGCAATTTTTGCTAAGTCATGATTTCGCGCGCTTTGTCCTTTAGAATGTTCTAGAAGGAATTTCATTGTGTAGTTGACCTTAAGAGACAGGAAGTACGTGACAGAAAGGTCAGGGGTTGCTACTGGACTTTCAATGTAAGTCATTCAGGTTTTTGGCGATTGAGGGTCCGGTTGTTGGCTAAGTGAAGAAGGGCGCGCATGCGCGATCACCCTTATTTCCGCATTCAGGGGTTGAAAACGCAAATTTTGCCAAAATTAAGGGGGCGATAATTGAAGCCATAGTGGGAGCCCACGTTTGTGAAGGAGAGGAAGAAAATTCGAGTTTGAATCACTTTTTTTCGTGTGACACTTTTTTGCGTGCGAGACTTGGAGAGACGTACTTGCTTTCTGAACTTACTTTTGGACGTTACTTTTTGCCCGTCTTTGGACGAGTTTTTTTGAAGGATTTAAGACTTTCAGGATTAAGACTTTTTTGCCGGGCTTCCAAGGCTGAAGGATTTGTTAAGTTTCTGTGGATCAATAAGTGGTGAGTCACGCGGATCACGGCGGACACTATTTGGCCGTCGCCTTGCTGTCGAAAAGAAAAAAAATGATCCAGCGAATTTCCAAAATTATTGGCCAAGTTCCACCCCGGCCAACGTGAGATTTTATACTCGACATCCTGATTGCGATCTTGAAGATTCTGCTCGGGTGCTGGTTCGAGGGCTTGTTTTTCTGCAAGGCTGTGCGAGTGCGGATGTGTTGCTGCCGCAAAAGGAATGGAGTCAGGGGTTATTAGGAATTGCGGCTAGTGACACCGAAAGCGTGAGACTCCTTAGACGCCTGTGTTCTCCTTACGGAATGAAATTTTCTTAGGAATTATGGTGTGGAATTCTAATCCCCTTTGATTTTTTCTCCCAGAATGCAAGGCCAGCCCAATACCTTTCCGGGTGCGTTTCAAGTCGTCAAAATCAACAGATAAGTGCTTTCTTATCAATTTTCCTTAGAACTTTTGGAAATTAGGAACTTTACTTTAAATTGAATCTTAAATTCAGTTCTACTGAAAATGAATTGCTTCCCTTTTTCCCCTTCTAAATTACCGAGACAAACCTTAAGGTTTTTATATAAAATTAGGGTGTAATAATAATAGTTGTTTGTGTAATCTTCCTTAGAACAGATGTGAATTGCAAATAATATGTTTTCCTTAACCTCTTAGAAATTATAGATCGGGTACCCGTTAAATTAAATGAGTCATGTAATAGATTTGCAAATCATGAATTTAAAATGTAACAACAGAAAATGACAAATTGATGTATTCCCTGTGTCTAAAATAAGAAAATTGTAACTGTAACAAAAATAAGAAGTTTGACTCTCGGATTAGGATAAGATTTAAGTTTAATGGTGAGGAATTTGAATAAAGTGGTATTTAATCTAGAAACCTATTACTTATGTTTTCTTTATATCTGTTATGTGTTTTTCTTATATATATATATTGATTTTACATGTTGTTTATTCGATCCTCTCACGGCGCGGTCCCGGATGCATTTTCACAACGCAATGCATTACCGTTTTACTTATACGATCACTAAAAGTTTGGTAATTAGCAAACTCTTAAGAGTTTAGTTTCTCAGTTGCTTTTTTTTTAGTTAGTTGCGGTTTCACCTGTCTGTTTCTACATTAGTTTCCTCCCTAAGAGGAAGTAGTAACACTGCATTGGTGCCCATGATTTTTACGGCAAAGTATAGAAACAGAACATTGGTATAGTAGCAATTTAACATTGGTGCCGTGACCTCTGCTTAGTGAAGGATCGAATCAGTAACTGATTTTTTGAATTTATTTATTTCGTATAACTTACTGTTTTAAGAAGGTGTTAAATTTTATGTGTAAGGACTAATTAAGGTTTAGATTTGAATTACGTTTGCTTACTGGTTATTGCAGGATATTAATTCTCTAATTTAATTTAAGAATTGAATTTAAGGTTAGGTAAATTGTTTTGGTATAAAATTAACTAAAAACATAGTGTTTTAGTAGGTGTGATTCGATGATTTCATACTGTGCATGTTAGGTAGTTACTAGTACAAAAGTATTATGTTTTAAGAAGGTTTGTGAATTTCAAATTTTGAGGCTTTCGAAATACTCAGTATGTTTTGTAGATGTAAGGATCGATACTTATGTTTTCTGTAAAAGTACCGGAGTTGTCAATGAGTGGAGGTTTTTTTAAGTTTTGCGCGTAACTGGCAGCTGATTAAATTAGCTTGACAATTTGGAAACTTGTTTGAATGATTCAAAACTATTAGAGGGCGATATGTCGAAAAAAACGCGCCGTTCTGCTAGACAGCCTGACCCATCAGTAGAGATGTTGGAAGAGACAGCCCCGGGCGTAAAGGGTACTTCAGTTTTTAGTTTGGACCCACTGGAGTCAGTTCCTATTCCTACGGGAGGAGAAAATAGCATTAGTCTAGCTGATTTTTTAGATAGACTCGAACTGATAGCATCACATGTAGGATGGACGGAGTCAGATAAAGTTACGGTAATTCGGGTTAAACTTGGGGGGGAAGCCGCGGAATTTGTTAGAAATAATCCGCGTTTGAGGAGCGAAGCTGGTTTTTTGTTTTTCCTACCTGGTAGGTGCCTTGAAGGACACAGGTTTACAACAGTTCAAAGTCTACATTCCCATATTCGCTCCCTGATACAGGCATTTCAAAAGCCGCGGGAGTCAGTCAGTTCGCTGCGCGTATCGAGGCTTTATCTTATAAAACAGTGCCAGTGTAGAAAGGTATAAAGGATGGGCGATCCGGCAGCAGAGACTCAGAGGCAGGAATTGCTATTATCTGTTTTTCTAGAAGGATTGCACTTGCACCTTAGACGTCTGCTCTTGCCCCATAATCATAAATCATTTGTAGCAGCGAAAAACCACGCAGTTTTGGAGGAAGAGATGTGGATAAAAAAACCATGCTGAGGCAGATTTTCAGTCAGCTGAAGTTAAGGTGGTCCATACTACGGGTACGGTAAATTCCAAGGACACTCTTTGCGTTTCAGGTGAAAATGTAGAGCTTGTAGAGGCTATTAGATTGCAACAACAGAACTTAACCCAGTTGACACAGATGATGAATACTTTGCAGAGCCAAATGCAATCTTTGACGGTGCATAATCCTCGGTCGAGATCCTTACAGCCTAGATGTTTCCGTTGTAACCGGGTAGGACACATAAGCAGAAATTGTTATGTAAATGGCAGGTCTAATAACGAGCAGGGCAGATCAGATCACAGATTTCGACAAAGAGAGGCAGGAACGGCGAATAGACTTAATTCTCATATGGCACCCGAACATTTGGCGGTAGCATCCC